AAAAAGACAAAATAAATAAATAATAAAAAAAATTTAGAAAACTGACTAGGATGTAATCCCAAGTTTGTTCCCTAGTTTTGGAGAAAGGGGCAAACTCTGGAGTGGTAACTGTGGCAATCCAGGTATCTGCAGGGTGGAAGAGGGAGAGTGGTCTGTATGAGGCTATAACACTGGGTACTTTCAGAGAACCGGAAGCGGTAGGCTGTGGTCTGCAGGAAGCAGGAACGGGAGTCGAGCCAGTCAAGCTGCCTGTGTTGCTGATGTCACCACGGGATTGTTGGTATAGGGAGGGGGCTGAGTCCCTTCGCTGTCCCAGGAGACAAGCCAGCTCCCATCAGCCCACCGGCAGGAGGGACTTAGCGTGTGGCCAGGGAGGTGGCCGAGATTTTGGGAAACACTGACCTGCCTCCCCTGGGGAAAGAGAGTGATGCGTGAACAAGCCGTGCGTCTGCGGGGCCTTGAAATTGAGAGGTGACAGAGCACTGAAGTTGGCGGCAAGTTCTAGGCCTAGTGAAGGTGTCTTGGCCTTGTTGTCCCCCTCGCCTGCCCACCATGGGTCCCTTTCCAGAGAGTTCAAGGGAGGATGGATCTCACCTGAGGCTCCTGCTGATCCTCCTGAACAGCAGAGGGCGCCAACCTGGCCCTGGGGCTTGCCGGGAGTCTCCTTTCTGCAGGGTTCGGTTCTACTTGGCCTTGGAGGTGGAGTTCATCCTGGCAGAGGGTAACATCTATTAGAATAGGAGATAGAGAGGTGGTCCTGGGTCCCCAGGCACAGAAACTCCGGGTCTCTGTGAAAAGATCGAGGTGAAGGGTGGGGAGGGGAGGCCCCACGCAGAAAGCTGGAGACCTGCTGTGGTGCCCCAGTCCCGAGAGAAGTCTGCACATGTTTTCGGGGGACATTTGGGGAACAGTGCAGTGGGGGTGGCAGAGAGGACCCAGTGCTCAGAGCCTTGTCTTTATGTGTGTGAGACAGGGTCTCGCTATATAGCTCAGGCTGGCCATGAACTCACCATGTAGCCCAGGCTGGCATCAAACTCGAGGTGATCCTCCTGCCTCAGCCTCTCCAGTGCTGGGATTATAGGTGTGTGCACCACCATGCCTGGCTCCCAGAGTATCATTTTTCGAAAAAGATTTGGTGGTGGAGGAACCACACTTATATGAAGACCACGTGGCCGTGATGTGGAGCAGAATGTGTGCCAGAGGCTTAAAAATAAAACAGTACAGGTAGTGAGCCTCACGCATATGTTCTCCTCTGCGGCTGGGAGAATTTTGATGACAATGTTGCAGGAGTCTGGAGTCCTCGTTTTCAGGTTGGGGAAACAGGCGGAAGGGAGGAAAGGCCCTGACCCACAGTTGTGCGACAGATGACCGGATCTGGAGTTCAGGTCTCTGGCTCCAACCCCAGCGTGTGCCCCACGACTCCTGTTGTCTGTCCAGGCAAGAGAAGAGCAGGAAAGGGCCGTCCAAGTGGCATGTGATGTGAGACTTGGGAAATCCCAGACTCTGTCTCCCAGAGAGGGTTCGGAACCTGCTTTCTGGTCCTCAGCTTCCCCATCTGCAGAATGGGGCTCCTCGGGCTTCGCAGACATTTCCACCGAAGCGGGCTGTCTTGGGCTCCCAGCACAGCCCCTTGCTCTCTGAGGGGACCCCTGCGGTTCTGTCTGCATCCCCAGCCCTGTCGGTTTCCCCGTTCCCGCCTGCCGGGCTCCAGGCTCCTCCGAGGTGGCTTAGCCAGACATCTGCTGAGCCATGAATATTCAGAAAGGGCTCGGCTCCCCCGCCAGCCCCGGCCCCTCGGGCCGCCGTCCTGCCCAGCACAGCCCGCTTGCTGACAGACCCAGCAGCTGCTCGGGCCCCAACTGTTCGCGGTGTTTGTTCAGCGCGGCAGGGGATTTTCCAAGCCCCGATGGACCGCTGGGGGCGGGGAGGCTGCAGAGGGCCCGCAGATTCTGGATTCCGCTCATGTGGGCTTTTCCCCCAGCCGCCCAAACCCTTGCTGGTGCGGACCCGGCATTTGGCGGCCGCGGGCTGAGAGCGGCTTGCTCCCGAAGCTTGTTGGGGTGTAGCGACCCGGGGCCTGCAGATGGGGGGCTGGGTGTCAGAAGAGCGGTCAGCATTTGCACCCGCTTTACCGTGCCTGGAGAACGCCCTGTCTCAGGGCCTGCCGTGCCCGCAGGGCTCTGGGCTAGAGCCCTGACGTCTTCGTCCTGCGGGATCCCCACAAGCTCAGGAGTACGGCTTTGCTCTGCAGCTGTGGAAACGGAGGCCTGAGGCCCACTGGCTCCTCAGACGGCTGCCGGGGAGCAGGGAGGCTGAACCTTGACCTTCTGCCCCAAGGTCAAATGGGCCTCTGCCCGCAGCATGCGGCCTGCGCAGCGCGGGTGCGGGTTTGCTTTCCCCGGATCAGAGTGGAAACGCGCGGGGTGGGAGCTGCCCTGTCCCCTCTGCACCCACCAGTGCCCCCGAGGCCAGTTGCACCCCGAGATTGCAGGCCCTGTCCATCTATCTGTCCTTCAAGCTGAGCGTCAGAGCCCTGGCTTCTGTCCTGGTTGCCCTACATCAGCCAGCGGGGGCTTCTCTGCTCCCGTCCACCCTGTTCTTCTTCAGAGGTTGTGGAAAGAGCGGCCGGGGCCAGACAGGACTCTGCACATGTGTGCGTGTGCAGGTGCTGACGAGCGTGGCAGAGACAGAGATGCATGTGTTCAGGAAGCAGAATTGTGTCCAGCGCGGTGTGTGTCTAGCTTGTTATATGTTTGCTCCGGGATACTCGATAGAATATCAGATGTTTGAGTAAACTGAGCCCAGAAGAAGAGCCTGACCCAGGGCGGCACATCTGGCCTGTGGCAGAGCTGACTGCCGACTCCCTAGTGTGGAGCGTGGCTGTGTCATCCCGGGCCTGCCTGGGGCGCATGTGGGGATGGACCTCACTCCTAGCACGCTGCGCTCTCAGCCACGCTGAACTGAATCAAGGAGTTGGGCTGGAGGGTGGGACAGGACCTTGGGCCGTTGAGCTCTTAGGGGATGGGGCAGCAGGCCAACCTTCCAGAAGATCCCAGGGAAACCAGCCACTTCTCCAAGAATGATGCCGACCTGTTGGCTACAGTATTACATGTTGCCTTTGTGGTTTTGCCTTGGCTGGGAATGGCAGTCCCTTCCTCCACTGGTCCTTTTGTGGCAAGGCTCCGTTGGGGTCTGCGGGATCTTCTGCACCCGGGCGAGAAGGAAGAACCCGCTTGGTCAGGAGACCCAGGTCCTGACCCTGGCCTCCTGTGTGACACTGCAGACAGTAGCTGCGGGAGGGAACACAGCTTTTCCAGCTGCTAGAGCAGAAGACGTTGCTGGCTGTTGGGGCTCCGTCCCCTGGGGCCTGGAACGAGCTGTGGGAGCTGCCTCCAGGCTTGCTCTAAATACTTAGAGGCAGGAGCCCAGCGTGGGGGCGTGTGGTTGCAGGAGGCTGAAACTCAGGAGGCTGAGTTGTGGGGGGATCACCACAAGGTCACAGCCAGCCTGGGCTACATAGTGAGTCTCTATTTTTTTTTTTTTTTTTTTTAGTCTTTCTGAGACAGGGTCTCGCTATGCAGTTCAGGCTGGCCTTGAGCTCACTTTGTAGCCCAGGCTGGTCTCAAGCTCACAATGATCCTCCTGCCTCAGCCTCCCAAGTGCTGGGATTACAGGCGTGTGCCACCACACCCAGCTACATAGTGAGTGTGAAAACCTAAGAGCAAGGAAGCAAGAGAGCGAGATACTGAGATGGTAATTCACACGCATACATACTTTCCTACTTGTAATACATTTTAATTTTATTTTTATTTTTTTTTTGCGGCTCTGGGGATGGAACCCAGGGTGTTATGCATGCTAGGCAAGTGCTGTACCTCTGAGCTAAATCCCAGCCCGCCTAACGCGTTTTTTTTTTTTTTTGTCTTTTTTTCCGGTACCAGGAATCGAACTCACGACCTTGCGCTTGCCAGGCAGGCGCTTTTGCCGCTGAGCTAAATCCCCAGCCCCGACCTAACGCGTTTTAAATGTTCCCTGGCTACAGCTCTTTTGTAGCCTATGGCATATTTTGCATATTTTTGGTTGGCTGATAAGAGTTGATATGATCTGTTAGGTTCCAGGGAAGGGAGCGACATTACGGAGCCCCTGTCCTGGGCCAGGCAGTGCCACCCTCTTCTCACACCTCATCTCATTTGATGCTCACTACTGCCCTGTTTGGAAGGAATTAAGCTTTTAAAAATCGAGATAGCAGTCAACACCACAAAATGTACCATGTATGGAGCGTGAGGCAGTGTTTTTAGTATTGTGACAAGGTGGTGTAGCCCTGGCCCCTAATTTCAGAACATTTTCATCACCCCAAAGAGAAACTTCAGTCTTGCCAGGTGTGATGGCACACGCCTGTAATCCCAGCCCTTGGGAGGCTGAGGCAGGAGGATCTCCATGAGTTCAAGGCCAGCCTGGGCTACATACTGAACTCTGGCCATCCTGAACTGCACAGCAAGATCCTGTCTCAAACAAACAAACAAACAAAAACCAAAAAGAGACTTCAGTCCTTCCCCATTCTCTGCCCACACCCCTGGTAACCATCAATCTGTTTTCTGTATTTATGGATTTGCCTAGTCTAGACATTGCATATCAATGAGATCACACCGTATGTGGCATTTTGTGACTGGCCTCTGTCCCTTGGCATAAAGTTTTCCAGATTCACCCACACTGTGGCAGGCATCACTTCCTTTTGCTGGCTGAATAATCTACTTGTCCGCAGGTTGAGAACTTTGAGGGGTTTGCACTTGGGAATAATGCCGCCCCAAACTGGATTCTCTTTTTGTGGGTGAAGATGTCGAGTGGGGGGAGCACGGAGCAGAGGTGTTCCCTCTGTGAGTGGAGAGCCGGGCCCTGCGCACGTCTTTCCACGCGACCTCTGTCTCTGTGACCGGGCCAGCGCTGGGTGGTGGCCGGGGAGCAGAGGCTGTGATTGATGGCCCGATGCTTCCTCTTCCACGCAGGGGAGCTGCCGTTACCCCAGGAGAAGACCGTGGAGCTGAGCTGTGCTGCGGGGCCGCTGTCTGTGATCCTGGGCCCACAGCAGGCCGCCGTGCTGAACTGCAGTCTGGGCGCCGCTGCTGCAGGGCCCCCCAGCCGGGTGACCTGGAACAAGGACGGGGACGCCCTGCTGGAGCATGAGCACCTGCGGCTGCTGCCCAATGGCTCCCTGTGGCTCTCCCCACCGCCACCTCACGAGGACAGTGACAAGGCGGCCCCTGTGGCCGTGGGGAGCGTCGAGGGCAGCTATTCCTGCCTGGCCCACGGCCCCCTCGGAGTGGTGGCCAGCCAGGCTGCGGTGGTCAGGCTTGCCAGTAAGTGCCACCGGCCGCTGGGGGCGACCTGGGTGGGATCTGCACTTAGCTCCTTGCACAGAAGCTGACTTTTGAGCCCCACCCCTGCCCCTGACGCCATCCTACCCAGGGGTCCCGTCCTCCTGCGGCTCAGGAGCCTTCCCGCTGCTTCTGCACCGCCCGCCCTTCCCTCCGCTGTGAGTTCAGAGTCTAGAGTTGCGCTCAGCTCGAGGAAGCCTAGTGAGGCTGCGCGAGGTCAGGGGCCCAGGGAAGCCGCGCCATACAACTGGTCGCTGTGGGCTCTCGGGGGCCCCAGGCCGTGTGAACTCACTTCAGCGTCCTCCTGGAGGGCGCTGCTTGGTGTGTGGGGCGGGGGAACCCTGGAGCCCAGCCTGCCAGCGGCCTCTGACCAGTAATCAGCACCTCTTTGTCCCTCGTGTTTCTGTCACCGTGCTTCTGTCCATGTGTGTGTCACTGTGCTTGCTGTGGTCCCCACCCTTGCCCCACGTGCCCGCCGTGCCCGCCGTGTCTGTCTGTCCCTGTCCCCAGCACTTTCAGACTTCTCCCTGCACCCGGAGCCTCAGACGGTGGAGGAGAACGGGACCGCCCGCTTTGAGTGCCACATTGAAGGGCTGCCAGCCCCTGTCGTTACTTGGGAGAAGGACCAGGTGACACTGCCCGAGGAGCCTCGGTGAGTGTCCTGTGTGTGGGGGTGCCGTGGGCAGGGCCGCGAGGGCTCCGGATGGGCATGGAACTGGGGTGCTTAGCGTTCAGGTGGCTCCTTCTGCCTGACCTGCTTGAAAGCCAACTGCCGCGTGGCTCCCCGCCCGTTTCTGGTCCCAGAGAAAAGTTGGACAAGAGGTTTTCGCTGAGGTGGTGGCAGAGTGTAGCCTTGCTTTCCTGAGGAGACAGAGACCCGGGAGGGCTGAGGTCTGTCCAGGGCCCCCCAGGGAGCCGCTGGCAGGGTGTTGGTTGTTGCACGGGGCCCTGAGGCTGCTGGGGGAGCCCCCACCCGGGTGCCACCCGCTTTCACTGCCACCCAGTGAGCGGTGGAGGTCCTGGTTTCACCTCCTCACCCCGTAAATGCTGTGACAGGTGATCAGTTCTTCCCTGAGCAACCTCATGAGGACAGTGACGTGGGCCAGGCAGGAATAGCTGTCCTCGATGGTCCCCACGGCCACACGGGCTGCCTTGTCACTGTCCTCATGGGGTGGCGGTGGGGAGGAACTCCTGCTGGACCCAGGAGCTGGCTTCTGGTGCGGCCATCGGGGCAGGTCCAGATGTGCGCACAGTGTGACCAGTTCCCCACGGCTAGTCACCAGCGGGCTCGGCTCGCGCTTTGATGGGGGACGCGGGGCTCCTTGGGCTGGGAGACCTGCCTCGCACTGCTGTCCCTGGAACTCGCCTCTCCACTGTTGAGCTAGCCCACCTCCTCTGACTTTTGCCTGAATGTAGGTAGGCGTGGGAGGTAGCGGGCAGACTCCTGGGTAGAGAAACCACAGGACTGTGAGGGCAGAGCTTACAGAAGGGACCGAGACGTCAAGATGTACGAGGTCTGTGGACTTCAAGCCCCCTATCCTGAGTGCAGCATTTCTCGCCAGCTTTCGTCTCACCCCAACTATGAAATGGGGGGGGTGGTCAGTTAGATAATTGTTTCCCAAGGTATAGTCTTTGTAGAACACTAGCCCCTTAAAATACTTCTTGATTAGCCAGCGTGGTGGTACATACCTCTAATCCCAGCACTTGGGAGGCTGAGGCAGGAGGATACTGAGAGTTCGAGGCCAGCCTGGGCTACAAGTCAGTTCAAGGCCAGCCTAAACTACATAGTGAGACCCTGTCTCAAAAAGACAAAAAAAAAAAAGATGCCTCTTGAAAAAAAAAGTATTTTATCATTAAATAGAACAGGGAGCTTCTTATAAATCTCCCTGTTGGAGTTAGCACGGCCCCGAGAAGTGCTGTCCGGAAAGATCTCATTAACTTGGCTAACCAAGCGTGGCCCAGGCCCATCCGCCCAGGAGCCCTTTCACAGCAACGCGCTCCTTCCTGTAGGCCTCGAGGCGCTAACCAAACTCTGCATTTCTGAGTGCGGAGCCGCTACCCACTGTGGATGGGTGACCCCTGAATCTAGAGCAGTGGGCCGGGGGGCACCCAGGAACGAGCATAGCCTCCTCCCGACAGCCCCGGAGAGGGTAAAAGAATACCCCCAGGTTGGCAGGCACCACAGGCCCCTCCTCTTCCTCTTCCTCTTCGTCTTCCTCTTTCTGATCTTCCTTTCCCTCCTTTTCTCTTTTTACTCACTTGTGTTCTTATTCTGGGCATTTACTTTTTCTTTCTTTTTCAGTACTGGGGATCGAACCCAAGATCTTCACATGAGTTGCATCCCCAGCCTTTTTTAATGTTTTGTTTTGAGACAGGGTCTTGCTAAGTCATCAAGTTGCCCAGGCTGGTCTTGAACTTGCAGCAATCTTCCTGCCTCAGCCTCCTAAGTGATGGGACTATAGGCATGCACCACCATGCCCAGAAGATGCACCTCAAAAATTTATATAAACAAAAGAGAAAAGAAACTATCCATTATCTTGTCACCATTGTTAATTTTTTTTTTTTTTTTTTTTGGTGGCCCTGGGAATAGAACCTAGGGGTGCTCCACCACTGAGCTACATCCCCGGCCCTTTTTACTTTGAAACAGGGTCCCACTAAATTGCCTACACTGTGCTCAAACTTTTGATCCTCCTATGTAACCTCCCAGAGTACTGGGATTACAGGTGTGCACCACCACACCCAGCTATTTTAAAATATTTAGATTATATTGTACACACTGGGTTTTTCATTCAATTAACAATAATAAGACATTCTTAAAACAAAAAAATTTTCTCACGTTACAAGCAGTGAACATCCTTCCAGCTCTGTGTGTGTGGGTGTAGAGATGTTGTCTAGATTGCCAAGGGAAGGGACTGGGTCAGAGACAGAATGAGTTTCCCAGGTCCCCCGGCTGCTCCCCAGTGTTGCATTTCTGGCCCTTGTCGGGGAGATTTGGTGAAGGAGCTGCAGGGTCTGAAGAAGTCTGTTTAGAGATCTTCGGTCCAGCGGGGGCCCACAGCAGAGCAATTGCTTCTCAGTGACCCCGCAGGGGTGTGTGTGTGTGTGTGTGTGTGTGTGTGTGTGTGTGTGTGTGTGTGTCCAGACCTCTGCTCCCAGCGTGCAGTTCAGGCCCCAACCCACAAAGCCGCGGACCTCACCCACGAGCTATCAGTGCCCAGGCTTTGAGGGTGTTGGCCCCCAAGACCTCTGAAAAATGATCCTCCTCTATAAATGAGCCAGGCTCAGATGTCTCAGCACACTGTGTGGGGGAACAAAGACACGTCTAAAGCAGTAGCCCGATTATGCCCCAGGTATGTATTTTTACACATGCTCGGATATATTGCACGGGCGAATACGCTCTTCACATGCTAGGCCGGCGGCGCGTGCGTGCAGTTAATCAGCGCTCCCCGCCAGGGCGGACTGGCGTGTGTAGAACTGACAATGAACACTAGACCCCGAGACACTTCCTTGGTGCTTGCACTAATTTTTAATAATAGGGGATAATTTCTCTTCCATGGAAACCTGTAATCAATGAAAGCTGTGTTTCCCAATGCCGCCTCTGTAACTCCAGCCATCCTCATAGCATTTACACAGGCACTTAATGTGTTTCTTTACATCAACTTGCTGTCCTGCAGCTTAACGTGTATTAAAAGAGCATTGTCGGGCTGGGGCTACAGCTCAGTGGTAGAGTGTGGTGCTTAGACCCTGGGTTCCATTCCCAGCCCTGCCCCCCATGACTGCAATAAAATAAAAAACAGCAACATTTGCCATAATAGAAGATAGTCATAAAAATAAACACATACTACTGGATTTAAAAATGTGCCCGGCCCATTTGAAGTCATTTTATTATTTACCCACTCTTTCTTTCTTTCTTTCCTTTCCAGTACCGGGAATCGAACTCACGACCTTGCACTTGCCAGGCAGGTGCTGTGCCGCTAAGCTAAATCCCCAGCCCCCTTTCTTCCTTTCTTCCTTTCTTTCTTGCAGTACCAGTGATTGCACCCAGGGTCTTCATACCTAGCTACATCCCCAGCCTTTTTTTCAATCTTTTGAGGCAGGATCCTGCCTCAGCCTCCAAGAGTGCTGGGGTTACAGGCGTATGCCAACACACCTGGCTTTTCACCAACATTTTGAGAAATGAACTAAAGCCCTTAAGTGACCCAGGCTCCCTCACCAGTCTCCCTGTTAGCCTTTCCTGGTAGCCACCATATCTGCTGGCCTCCTGCAACCCTCAGCTAGCGTCCCTTTCCCTGGGTGGAGCTCTCAAGGGCTTCGCTGGCCTTTGGGGTATTCAGAGCAGCTTTGTCATTTCTTCTGCGTTCTTCTTTTTTTTCTTTTTTTTTGAGACAGGGTCTTGCTGGTCTTGCTATGTAGTTCAGGTTGGCCTTGAACCCACTATGTAGCCCAGGCTGATCTCAAATTCACAGTGATCCTCTTGCTTCAGCCTCTCAAGTCCTGGGATTATAGGCTTGGGCTACCATGCCTCGCTCTTCTGTGTTCTTTATTCTCTGGGCCCAAATGGTCTTTCGGGGTAGGGACAGCAGACCTAGATTTAGGAGTGGAAAAAGAATAATCACCTCCACAGTTTGGTGTGGAGGTGCTCGCCTGTAATCCCAGCACCTGGGAGGCTGAGGCAGGAGGAGTGGAAGTTCAAGTCTGGCCTGGGAAATTCAGTATGACCCTGTCTCAGAAAGAGAGAAAGGGAGGGAGATGGAAAGAAGAAAGGGAGGGAGCGAGGGAGGGGAAAGGCTGGGTGTATAACTCAGTCATCATCATCATTTCCTTTCAAATGGAGATTTTCATCCTATAAGTAGCTACTTTGTTTCACCTCAATTTATTTTGCTTGCTTTTTTTTTTTTTTTTTTTTTTGAGACAGGGTCTCACTATGTGGTTTAGGCTGGCCTTGAACTCACTATGCATCCCAGGCTGGTCTCAAACTCCCCACAATCCTCCTGCCTCAGCCTCCCCAGTGCTGGGATTACAGGCTGTGCCTCACCATGTCTGGCATTTGAATTTATTTTATTTTTTTATTTTTAATTTATTTTTAATTTATTTATTTATTTATTTATTTATTTATTTTTGTCTTTTTGAGACAGGGTCTCGCTATGTAGTTCAGGCTGGCCTTGAGCTCACTTTGTAGCCCAGGCTGGTCTCAAACTCACAACAATCTTCCTATCTCAGCCTCCCGATTACAGACATGTGCCACCATGCCTGGCTTGAATTTATTTTAAAATGGTGAAATATAAAACTTTATGGAATGAGGAAAAACTGATCTATTGACTAAACAACATTATTACCATTTTGAATGCTCCCTTGGGTCCTTTGAAATATGTGTGTGGTTCCACCACTGTATGTGTGTTTGGAGGCTGGGACTCTGTGTTGTCTCTTGTCTCATGTGAGCTTGTAACATGAAGGGGTTCAGGGCTATGAAGTGGACGGGACAGGAGTCCTTTAACCCATTTCTCAGATGAGAAAACTGTGGCCCAAGACAGGTACTGTCATTGCTGGATAAATCATATGTAATGAACCAGTTCACTCCACCTGCTGGTTCTGTGTTGGGGCCCAGAATTAGGAGGCAGAGAACACAGGCGCTCACACATTTACACTTTCAGATGGAAGACACTTCTGTATTTCCAAACTAATATAATTCATTGTTTCAAAAAAAATCAAAAAGTTCAACAAGTAAGAGTTTCTGGTAATCTCATCTCAGAGAAAACTCCTCAAACTATGTGTGCTTTGCCAGCTTTGGCTTTTTCTGCACAAATCCTAAGGTATCATTTATCTATTTTCCAAAAATAGAATAGCTTCATAAATACCATTTGGTGACCTTTCTCCCCTACTAACCAGCATGTCTTGGACATCTTTCCAAGGACAGAGCTTCTAATAATGTATTTTAACAAAACAGAAAAGGTTATGTTTTGGGGTTGTTTGTTTTTTGAGATAGGGCCTTGCTATGTAGTTCAGGCTGGGCTTGAACTCACTGTGGAGCCCAGGGTAGCCTTGAATTTGTGGTGATCCTCCTGCCTCAGCCTCCTGAGTGCTAGGATTACTACCATTACCAGCCAGAAAAGAACAGATTTTAGATGAGTACTAACAGTGCTTCCACCTCGCCTCTGCTGGTTGCAGTAACAGCACCATGATGAAAGACATTTTTCATTCATTGCACTTAATTAAAAAGTGTTATTTGCCAGAGGAAGAATTAGCCCTTGGGTCCTGGGGTCACGATTTCCCTGGAAAGATCAGGGAGCTTTGAGGTTAGTGAGTGGAGGCTGCTCCTGGTGGTGCAGGCAGCTAGGGAGAAGAAGAGGAGAAAGGAGAGAGGAGGGGGAGGGGGAGGGGAGAGGAAGGAAGACTCTCCTTGTTAGAGCAGGTCTGGAAGGAGCAGGGCTCATTTCCTACGGGGTCCTGCTTGTCCTTTCCCATCACTATTTTCTTTTCTTTTTTTTTTTTTTTTTTTTTTTTTTGGTCTTTTTGAGACAGGGTCTCACTATGCAATTCAGGCTGGCCTTGAGCTCACTTTGTAGCCCAGGCTGGTCTCGAACTCAAAACAGTCCTCCTGCCTCAGCCTCCCGAGTTCTGGGATTACAAGCGTGCTCCACCACACCCGGCCCACATCACTATTTTTGTCCTTGTCACTGCTGTTGTGGATCCTGGTCAAAGGTTTTCCCCCGGCCCCACTTCTGTAGGCCGCTGGTGGGCCGCTGCAAGGCCAGGGTCGGAGGTGGGTTAGCCTGTGGGACAGGGCAGGAGGGTGCAGGTTTGTTTTTCTCCAAGTCCTGGGGCCAAGCAGGTTTCCAGGCTGCTGCCCAGGGTCTCTCCCGACCCTGCTTCCCAGGCGCCGAGAGGTATCCCACAAGCACAGGGCCGCCCCGTTCCTTCTGCTGCAGCCTCGCCTGAGCCCCGGGGCCGCTGCTGCCCTTTGCTTCCTCCAGAAACTAGGACTGCGCTGTCCTGCTGCAGGGGCCTCTGCTGGGAAACTCAGGAGGATCCTGAAACCCCTCTGCTACCCACCACCCCTTGCCCCTGGAGACCTCCCTGCCCCAGTCTCGTCATTTTCCAAGCGAGGTCCCGGCCACACTTAACGCTCCATCCATCCAGCTGGTGTAGGCCCCTGGGGTTGCGTCCCTTCAGTAGACATCCCTATGCCTGAGGCTACTGAGACAGCTGGTGGGGTGGATGTGGCACTGGACACCAGAAGAGCTGGGTTCAAGTTTTACCTGCCCCAGCTCTGGCACCCTAGGAAAATACCCGATCCTAAGCCTCCATTTATTTTTTGTTTATTTATGTTTTTGGTCTTTTTGAGACAAGGTCTCATCTTGTTATGCAGTTCAGGCTGGCCTTGAGCTCACTTTGTAGCCGAGGCTGGTCTCAAACTCACACTGATCCTCCTGCCTCAGCCTCCTGAGTGCTGGGATTATAGATATGCACCATGAGTGAGCCTCCATTTTACCCCCAGTAAAAGAGATTGTGCTCCCCTCAGTCCCTTGGGCTGGTCTTGAGGGTCAGATGAGAGTGTGAATGAAAGGGATTTTATCAGAATAGGGAGGCTGTAACCCAAGCAGGGAGTTAAACAATTTAAACTGAGCCAGTGATGGTGGTGACACCTGTAATCCCTGCAGTCTGGCAGGCTGAGGTAGCAGAATTGTGAGTTCAAAGCCATTCTAGGCAACTTAGCAAGATTCTGTCTCAAAATTAAAAATTTCAAAAGGGCTGGAAAAGCCTGGGTTACAAAGTGAGCTCAAGGCCAGCCTGAACTGCATAGCGAGACCCTGTCTCAAAAAGACCAACCACAACAAAAAAAGAAAACCCCAGCCTGAACTGCATAGCGACACTCTGTCTCAAAAAAGATTCCCCCCAACCCCCCAAAATATAGCTCAGTGCAAAGACCTTGGATTCAATCCCCAGTGCCACAAAAAAAAAAAAAAAAAAAAAAAAAAAAAAAAAAGCACAGATTGTATGAGAGATCTATAGCTACATTGTCCCTCCTACCCCAGCTCCCAGGGTTCCCCAGTCTCTCCCCAAATAGCGACGCTGCCAGGGACACCCACATAGGTGCATAGGCTTCCCTCTTGTAATACTGTTTTCAAGGAGCGGCACGGAGCGGCCTCCTTTCCAGCAGCCTGGCGTCCCACACCCAAACCCCGCAGCCCGCCCCTGCCGGCCGGCGGACACCCCGGGGGCTCCAGTCGCCGGTGCTGGAGCGGCTATCGTCAGACAAACGTTACTGCGCACACACGTGTGTGCCTGTCCATAAGCTAGGGTCCTAGAGGTGGCGTTGCTGGGTCAAAAAGGCCATGCGGTTTGGCTGTTGAGCTGTTAGCCCCTTGGCGGGGAAGCGGGTGTGGGCGGCCCCGGACAGGCCGAGAGCTGGGTTCAAGTTTTACCCGCCCCTGGGGCCCCACGCTAATTTGCCGGTCTTCCTGAGCCTTCTCCGTCCGCTTCCCCAGGCTCATCACTCTTCCCAACGGCGTCCTCCAGATCCTGGACGTTCAGGACGGTGACGCAGGCTCCTACCGCTGCGTGGCCACGAACTCGGCCCGCCAGCGCTTCAGCCGCGAGGCGCCGCTCACGGTGGCCCGCAGAGGTAGGGGGGCCGCAGGGGGAGGGGCCTGGCGCTTCCGGGGCAGTGGTCCCGCTGGACAGGGAAGGAATGGTGCCCACAGTGGGCAGTGCCACCCGGCCAGCTGGGGACAGTCCGGGAGCTGGAACCAGACCCTGACTCCTGGTCAGCGCTCGTCCTTCGTGTGCAGTCGCTGTGTCCCCCAGGGACGGGAATGGGTCTGGGGGTGAGGCCTCTCCTCGCAGCCCTTGCCTGTGTCCCTAGCTCTCTTGCCCGTGGGAGCCCCGAGGCCTTGGGGTGTGAGGGAGTCACCCCGCCTGGCTCTCTGCAGCCGACACTGCCGTCGTGTGTGCCCTTCTTTGGGACAGGAGTAGGAAGGGCGCAGGCTTTTTTTTTTTTTTTTTCGGTACCGGGAATCGAACTCACGACCTTGCGCTTGCCAGGCAGGCGCTGTGCCGCTGAGCTAAATCCCCAGCCCCAAGGGCGCAGGCTTTGAGGTCATAGCGACCTGGATTGAACCTCCATCTGCAAGACCCTGGGCATGTGATCGGATGTCTGAGAGTGGTCAGGGGGCTGCTTAGAGGGCAGTGGGCAGTGCCTGGCACTTTGGGGGTGCTCTGCAGACTGCAGAGCTCAGATCAAGCCTCCAGGTGCCCCCACATCTGTCTCCCTGCGCCCCTTGCGCCCGGGGTCTCTGCCTCCATCTGCTGGACAAACCAGGTATTCCCATTCTCTGCCCCAGGGCGGCTTGCCCTGAGAACCCGGTGGGCGATCAGGGCGGGGGCGCTGAACAGCCGCTGCTGGCGGGCGCTTTCCTCCATGGGAACCTGAGGCTCCTTGGGAAGGGATTTGCCTAAGGTCACACAGCGGCAGTGCTGGAACTAGAACCTAGGAGTGTTGAGCCCAAGTCTGGTCTCCGCCCGGGACCCTTTGATCCTGGGCCTTGGGCGGGAGAGCTGGGTGGAGGGGCAGATCTGTCCAGCCTCCCCCTGGCGCTGTGTCAGAGGCCAGGCTCACTGGTTCTTGGAGAAAGAGCTCCAAGTTCCGGTCACAGCCCTGCTGCACTTGGTGACCACCTCCTTTGTCTGTCCCGTGGACCCACTGCTGCCCCTGCTGCACCGGGTGTCCAAGGGAAGATGCCCATTGCCTGTCCTCTCTGCAGGGTCCCTGGCGGCCACCAGGGGGCAGGACGTGGTCATCGTGGCAGCGCCGGAGAACACCACGGTGGTGTCCGGGCAGAGCGTGGTGATGGAGTGTGTGGCCTCAGCTGACCCCACCCCCATCGTGTCCTGGGCCCGGCAGGGTGAGTGGAGAGGGCAGGGCAGGAGGGGAGAGAAGGGCGTGGCATCTCTGGGGTCCCCAGGGCACCGACCTTCCGGTGTGACAGGGACTAATGTCGTAGGCAGTGAGGTGGGGCCTGGGTCTTAGTTCTGCCCCTCTGACAGTGTCGCACATGAGAGCTGGGAGGTGCCCCTGGCCCGCCAGTGCCCCGCAGCCCCAACCCCACTGTGGGTCTGGGGAACCACAAAGCTGCCACGTGGTCCACCCAGCGTGCTTTGGCCTTTGCGTGCCTGGCAGTGCGCTGGGCACAGGAAACAAGGGTTGGATGAGGGCAGGGGCTCAGGGTGGGGAGAGGGAGATAAACAAACGCCACACCCGGGAGGAGAGGGAGGTGCTGCAGGCTAGGAGAGCGCCGGGCCAAACCTCACCCCGGCTCCCGCCAGAGCCACCCACAGCCCTCTGGGGACAGCAGGGGCCAGGACTGTTATTCCCACGGGGCAGATGAGGAAGCCAGGGTCCAGAGAGCCAACACCCAAGCTTTAGCACTCCTTCTTTCCACTACACACTGCCTACAGGCCTGCAGAGAGAGCGCTGGCTCCTCGGAAGTGACCTGTCCTGAATGGATGGCGGAAGGAAGCGTTAACTCCTGTCTTAAAGCTGTCCTTATGCTCCTTCCCTGATCCATTCTACTGCCCTACACTGCCTGCTTTTTTATGCTCATATCTCACACTGAACAGAGTATGGAAGCCTGGCTGGGGAGGTGCATGCCAGTAATCTCAGCAGTCTGGGAGGCTGAGGCAGGAAGATCTCAAGTTTGAACTCAGCCTGGACAAGTTAGCAACTTAGCAAGAACTTGCCTCAAAATTTTAAAAATAAATAAACAATAAAAAGGACCTGGATGTAGCTTAGTGAAAAGGCTCTGGGTTAAGTCCACAGTATTGAAAAAAAAAGTATATAATTTTTTTTTTTTTTCTGGTACTGGGAATCAAACTCATGACTTTGCACTTGCCAGGCAGGCGCTGTGCCGCTGAGCTAAATCCCCAGCCCCTAAAGTATATAATAAATATATACTAAATATATTTTTAAATAAAAACATGTAATGTTTTTATTAAAATAAACATGTTTAAAATAAACATATGTTTAAAATAAACTTATGTTTTTATTTAAATAAATATACTAAATATAGTTAGTATATATTATATATACTAAATATGTAGTAAATATATAATATATATAGAAATATAATATAAATATATATTAAATATTAAAATATAGGGTCAGGGATATAGCTCAGTGGCACAGTGCCTGCCTGGCAAGCGCAAGGTCCTGTGTCTGATTCCTGGTACCCCCCAATGAATATTAAAATATACAAATATACATTATAATATATTTAGTATATATAAGTAAATATACTAAATATATATTTTAAATAAAAACGATAAATGGAATGACTACTTACCACTGAGCAGATGAAATACAACAATGCTGGTATCCTTTTTTTTGTTTGTTTGTTTTTGTTTTTTTCCTGTACCGGAAATCAAACTCACGACCTTGCGCTTGCCAGGCAGGCACTGTGCCGCTGAGCTAAATCCCCAGCCCCCCTTTTTTTTGTCTTTTTGAGACAGGATCTCGCTGTGCAGCTCAGGCTGGCCTTGAGTTCATTTTATAGCCCAGGCTGACCACGAACTCGCAACGATTCTCCTGCCTCAGCCTCCCGAGTGCTGGGATTACAGGCATGGGCCACCACGCCCGGCTTCAGTGCTGGTATCTTGCACCGTGTGAATTACACCCCCTCACTGGACTCCTGGTTAGGAGGACCCTACGGCTAGCGAGACCCTGATACTATTACTGGGGTCACCCAGAGACTTAGTGTCAACATCTCATAAATCCCTGCCATGTATCCGGATCACCCAGAGAGCTCCTTAAAACTGAAGCCGCCCAGGGCCCTCCCTCGCGGCTCACAGTGAGGTCGGGAAGAGGCAACCGGAAATCGAGAACTTAAAAATCGAGAAATCGAGAACCTGCGGCCTGCGCGAGGCCTCCACAGCCTGCTGGGGGCGCTGCGCTTGCTTTGGGATCCACCTGCGCGGGGAGGATTCTGACGCCGCTGTTTCAGTGCAAGTTTGCTCACAACACCTCCAGAGCAGGCTCAGAGGCGCCTCATTCCTGACCTCCAGGCCCTGCTCCCTGCCCAGGAATTAACTTCGCCAAACCTGGGAAGGGCATGGGCTTTTTTGTGTTTTGTTTTGTTTTGTTTTGTTTTGATTTTTGACTACAAATGCGATACATACTCACTGTTTTAGAAAACTAGGGGGGAAAAAAAGCAGAAAAATATGCCACCATTCAGAGATGAAAATTGTTAACATATGCATGTATTTTCTTCCAGGGTTTTTTTTTTTTCTATGCATATGTACACTTCCCCCTGAAATCGAGGAAGCATGCTGTATTGACAATGCCAAGCTTTATTTTATTCAGCAGGATGGGATAAGCATTTCCCCAACCTTCACAAGGTTTCTAAAATAATTTTAATGACTGTATAATAGTCCATCGTTTAGATACAGCTATAGCCAGGCATGATGGCACACCTGTAATCCCAGCACTTGGAAGGCTGATGAGGCAGGAGGATTACAAATTCAAGGCCAGCCTGGGCAATGTAGCAAGGCCCTGTCTTAAAAGAAAAGAAAATGGATAAAAGTCCGCACGTATTCAGATCTTGGGTCTGGTCAGACTTCGCCATGGTGGCCTTCATCACAGTGCTGGGCTAAGACGACAGGGAAAACTGCGGCTTTCCTGAGAGAAGAGAATGGTGACTGAGTACTAGTACTGAGGAGGGTCACGTGGTATCAGAAACCTGCGCTGCGCCCGCACTTAGTCTTTGGCCCTCGCAGCCGCCCTGCCCGCCAGGGACACACCCAGGCGGCGGGGCTCGGGGAGGGTGGCCGGGCTGGCCAGCGGGGGCGCACGGGTCCCGAGGCGGGCGGGGCTGGCGGGAG